GCAGAACTCCTTCCCAAGATCTCACCTCAATCTCCCTTCTGTCAGGTTAAAGCCATTCCCCCTTGTCCTGTCCCTACAGGCCCATGTCCAAAGCCCCTCTCCAGGTTTCTTGTAGCCCCTTTAGGCACTGGAGCTGCTCTAAGGTCTCCCCTTAAGGAGCTTTCTCTTCTCCAGGCTGAAAAAGCCCGGCTCTCTCAGCCTGTCTCCAAGCAGAGCTGCTCCAGCCCTCACACCATCTCCATGGCCTCCTCTGGACTTGCTCCAACAGCTCCATGTCCCTCTTGTGTTGTTGCCCCAGAGCTGGAGGCAGGACTGCAGGGGGGGTCTCCCCAGAGAGGAGCAGAGGAGTTCTGGACTGCAAGTGCACACTGACAGACGTATGTGCATGGAGGTGTTGCACATACATGCTAATACATGCTTGTGTGTGCACACACTGGCAGGTAGTGCATGTGTTTGGATACTGTAGATGTGCATGTGTGCGTACACATGCGTGGGGATCATGTCCTCCTGCAGCCAGCGCTGCCCTGGGCAGCAGGTGCTCATGGTGTCAGGGGGTTTCATGAGGTGGATGAGAGGAGGGAGGATGTCTCTGTCCCTAATGGCTCCTTCTCTCCTCAGGACAACTCGGATGTCTTCCTCTCCACAGAGGACACAGACTGGAAGGTAAGGACCAGCCACAGCAGGTGCATCCACCCTAGGTCCCATGGGGGATGGCAGCCTGAGGCTAGGGAAGGCTAGGCTGCAGGGTGCTGAACAGACACAGGAGTGCTGCTGTCCCCCCTTTCCATGAGGACACAGTGCCTGGTCAGTGTCTGTACATGGGGCTGCATGTCTATTGCAGATGCCAGCAGGAGGGGATGGTGCCAGACATCTCTGTGCTGGCACTAGATGTGGCTGCAGGCACTTGGCAAACGGCCGGGGACAAAACCTCTTTGAAAGAGTCGATTTCTTCTCAGGAGGGCTGAGCTGCTTTTCCAGCCCCTCCACCATTGCCATGGCAGTGGTTTCCCAGGCAATGCCAACTCCACACTTACATAAGGATGTTTGAAAGCCTTTCTTTTCTGGAGGGCTTCAACGTTGCCCCCTTTTTTGGAGAACAGGGCCCCTCCACTCCCTGGCTGGCACTTGATCACCTTGTATTTCCATTTCATCTCTCTATAGGAGCACCACCACGTGGCCTCGGGGCTTGTGGGGCTCAGTTTTTGCAGGCTCCCGCTTTGGTGGTCTTCACCATCACACCTCTGCCCAAGCTCATCCTGCACTGGGCTCCCCCCACAGACACCAGGGTGCCAGTAGATGAGGAGGGAAGGCAGTGAGGCTGCCAGACCTCAGCTTGCTGCCTGTCCCTCTTCCAAAGCATCCCCCTATCCCAAGGGACACCAGTGACCGGCTTCAGGTTCTATGTTGCTGCTTTGCCAGTGGCTGGGACCGCCAGGAGGGTGGGCTTGGATGGTGCTGTCTGAGCCAGGTCTGGCACTGAAACACCAGCACCTGCAAGGGTGAAATTAATCTGGATTTAATGCATCCTGGAGAGGAGCAGGGGAGCACAGTTCCCTCTTTTGGCATACCCAAAGTGGTGCCCAGGCTTTTGGGGCCGGCCTGCTTGGTCTCCATCATCCATGCAGGTACAGCCATGTGGGGGGCAGAGACTTCCATCAGAATGCTAGGCTGGTGGTTTGCAGAATGAGAGATTTCGCTTTCTTGCTTGGAGGCCACAGAATTATTAAAAGGTGGCAGTGGTAGAAGACAAATTCCAGCGTTCCCAGCAGCCCTAAAGCTGAGGAGATGCTGGGGACAGGTGGGTCTGGGCTGCTCCTTGCTCTGCCTGCTCAGGGTTCTTGTTAAAAGCTGGAGTGGAAATGAACCCTCCTGGTGTCAGTAATGTGAGGGTGAGGAAGGCACCATGGGCACTAGCATGGCTCTCACTCGCCCGTGCCAGGGCGGGGCTTGGTTGGCGTGCAGGGGATGTTAAAGAGCAACGACTATCCCAGGACAACCTTTGCATGCCAGTATTTCAGGGACTGGCCCACGATGACACTGACTCATGTCCCTGCTGGTGCCGATGTGGAGTGGGACCAGACAGCAAATGCCCCAGCAATGCACTTCGGTACCTAAAGAATGACCTGGACAAGGACCAAAGCAGCATTCCTGAGCCAGCCAGGACCTGAGCGCTCCTGTTTCCCCTCCAAGAGCCTCATGGTGGGATGGGATGAGCTCCCCAGGCTGTGCAGGGGCAACCTCCCCTTATCCCCCCCCCCTGCACTTTTCCCTCATCTTGGGGTATTTAATCCAGCCCCAGCTGAACTCTTTGTCATCCTTCTGCTCCTCCCCAGAGCCATTGCTGCTCCCTCGCCAAGATACTCTGGCCTACGGGCGCGGTGTGGGGGACTAGGGATCCCCTATTATCACAGCAGCCATAGTAAAGCCCTTGGGGCTGCTGGAATAAGCCAAATTGTTGGAATGCGGGGTGCAGGAGCCTCTGCCCTGGGACCTTGTGGCCCTGGCCCTGCTGGAGGTCTGGGCCACCTGCCAGCAGATGGGCTCGTAGCCAGTGGGGTGACAATGCCATTCTGTGCCATTCAAGTGGAGTGAGCCTTGCTCAGCCCTCCCATGTCCCTGCAGCCCTTCATGCCTTCAAGCCGTTCATGCCTTGCTTCACCTCAGCTTTTCCACCCCTTCTCCCTCTATTTTGCCACTGTCTGTCTTTTTCTGCCTGGTCATGCCCCTCTGCATCTCTAGCTTTTCCCTGGGGGCTGTGGCTGCTTGTGCTCTTTGGCTCCACAGCAGAAATTCCACCTGAACCCATGAACAGCTTTGTACCTGTGCCAGGACCCCCTGGAAACTGAGCTTTACTCCTCACATGGTCCTTCCTTAGCAGAGATGGAGCTTGGGCTTGCCTCTGAGCTCCCTGCAGGACAAAGCAGTGCAGAGGAAAGCCTGTTTGGGGCAGGCAAGGTCAGGGAAAGGGCTTTCCCCAAGGAAAAGGGGCTCACCCCTGTTATTAGACATCAGAGACCCCATGGGAACAAGCCTGCTGGGTGAAGCTGAGCTCATGGGGCTTTGCCATGGGAGGAGGCCCACATCTGTGCTGATCCATGGCTGTGATGTGGAAGCGAGCCATGGCCAGGCTGGGGATGCAGAGGTGGTGACATGCTCCAGCATGGAGCATCCCTGCGGTGGGCAGGGAGCCTGGAGGGTCCCCATTGGATGCTGTCCTGGTCCAGCACTGATCATGGCTCTTCAGCCCCTTTGGGGGACCATGGCACTCTTTCTCTACCCATGGTTGTCCAGCTTCATGCTGGAGTGTTTCTGGAGGTGGCTGTGCTGAGTTGTACTGGGCAGGAGCAGGCAGGATAAAGGGGATGGCACCCAGAGCCTGCCTGTCATGGGGCATGAGGCCACCCATGGGTGCAAGCTGCAGGAAGACCTCATTGAAATCAGGGCAGAAAACATCTGCTTGTATGCATGCACACAGGAATACACACATGTGCATGTGCATACACAGCACGAGTTGGTCCAGGGACGGGATCTGACCCCTCAGCGCTTCTGGGTTGTCTTTTCTCCTGCTTTATTTACCTGCCACTGGTGATGGCCAGGTTGGGACTAAATCCTGTGCATCCCATGCTTGCCAGCATCCCACAGTGGGTAGGATGGTTGTGTGGCTGGGTAAAGTGACACATGTATCTGGCCAATGTTCACATGTGCCCCTCCGTGCACATGTGCACAAGGTTCTGCATGTGTGCAGGTTATTGTGCATCCACGGGCATGAGAGATAGCCATGGCATACCTAGGAATCACAAAGGAGAAGGATGCAGTGGGTATGCTCCTTATATGCATGTGACCACACACATACATGTACAGGAACATGGAACGACACAGACACATGGGCCAGCCCCCATGTGGGGATATGCCCAAGCATTTTGTGGGGTTGTGTGTTCTACAGCGTGACTCGTTGTGTTTATTCTCCCAAAGTTTGCATACACAGAAATGAGAGGGGGACATGACACAGTGTGTCTTGTGTTGGTGCATGTTCCTGTGCATGGATGTGCATGGTTGCATGCATCTGCACCGCATGCCTGAGGTGACATTCTCCTGTGTGTTTAGCATGTGCCCATGTCTGTGAGTGTGTGTGTGGGTGGTTCCTGGTATGTGTGCACTGCTGCAGGCTGCAGGTCCAGCATGATACTGCATGTTTGCATGTGGCTGGAGCCACACGTGTGCTGGGTGCGTAGGCACCCTGGCCTGTCCCATTGTGCCCAAGGAGGGAAGATGGAGCAGGTTCTGCATGGTGCCAGGTGTTTTTTCCTTCATAAACAAGGATATTTGGGGCCAATTGGAGCATGAATAATTCTGCTGGCAGCCAATGGCTGTGCTGGCTCCATCACAGCGCTCCTGCAATGGAGCCCAGCCTGTGTTGAGGGGGAAGGGAGGCAGAGGCAGGGCTTAGCACAGGGCTGGGGCTCTGCTATAAAGCCAGGCGAGGGGCTGAGCCAGCACAGAGCTCTGCTTCACCCAGCCCACTGCACCGCTGTGCCCTGCACCGGGACCCTGCTCTGGGTCCACCCTGCCTGAGCATCCTCGTCCTCCCAGTTCCTCACCATGCCTGAGTGCTGGGATGGGGTAGGTACCACCGCTCCGTGCTCGCTGCTCTCCCTTTTCGCCGAGTTTTGCCTCAAGTACCTCCCCCACTTGCTGAGGCTGGACCTTTGCTCCACAGGGCTTGATGTGGGGCAGGCAGGGGTTAGTGAGGGGGGACCTGCTGCTAGGGAGCTTTTCCTTCTCGCAGCCCTGCTGCCGCATCCCTGATGTGCCACAGGCTTCAGGGACGCAGTGTCCTTGAGCATGTCCTCCCCAAGCCCAGCCAAGATGCTGCACCCAGGCTGAGTGTGGGTGCAGAGGCTGCTGATGGGGTGATGGGTGGCAGGTTGCCCCTTCGCCACCCCAGATCTGCAGAGGGAGAGGGTCTCCTGCTGTTTTGAAGCAATCTCTTGGATGCTTTCTGGTCTCTGCAGTGATGGCAACAGGCTGGTGCAGAGGAGGCTGAGCACTGCAGCAATAAGTGAGTGACCTGGACAGGGCTGGGTGCCCAAGGTACCTATGGGTGCTGTGACACCCCCCTCCACCTCACCCCACTTTTGCTAGGGCCATGGGTTGTCAGTGCGCTGTACTCCTTGCTGCCTGCATCCCCTGCATCCCTAATCCTCCCAACCCCCTCCACAGCAAGCATCCCTGCAGCAAAGGGCAGGGCTGTGGTACCAGGAATGCTGCATAGGCTGCACCATGAGCAGGGATGTGCCTGGCTTGGGTTGGGGGGAATGACATAATGTGCTGGGGAAGGAGCTGACATGTTGGGCATGTGGGGTGGGAATGCAGCCTGAGCTGTTGGGGCTGTAACAGGGATTGTGGGCACGAGGATGGCAAAGAGGCAGCCCTGTGCCCAGGATCAGACTACATGGATGCCTCCTGCTCTGTGACCTTGGGCCAGGCCCTTCCTCTGCCTCAGTTTCCCCATCCATTGGTGCAGAGGGATGTCCTTGCTCATAGCCTGCTGCCTGATACAGCCGTGGAGAGTGGAGGGGCAGCTGTGGATGAGGGCTGGGGTTGGGGTGCCCTTGGGGAGCAGAGTGTTGTCTCCTCAGAGCCCTTGTGCTGCCCTCAGGCACTGCAACCCCTTGGGGACAGCAGATCTAAGCGAAGGGAGGCACTGCAGTGAGGAGACCATGTCCTCAGGAGTTCCTCCCACCTCAGGCCTGTGTCCTTCAGAGTCCTTCGCGGCACATAACCCTTGGGAGCACCCATGTACCTCGTCCCCTCCTGCCAGCCCATTCATGGGGCTGCCAGTTCCTGCAGTGAGAACTGTGCCAACACCCCCTGCCCAGCCCATGATGTTCCTGCACCCACAAGATCTTGGCTTCGAGGTCAATGGCTATCAGGGATGGGCATCTGGAGGGGACCCTGCTCCCTTGTCCCCAGGCAGCATCTGGGCTTACAGCCTCAGTTTCCTTTGCTGGCTGGGGACAATGGCAGTGAGCCTTCCCAGCCAGGGAAACTGAGACACAGGGCAGCCCTGATCTCTGTATGGGTGCACAGCCATGTCACACCAAGATGGGTTTAAGTTACTTTAGCTGTGATTTCAGGGTCAGGCTGCAGTGTTTCCCAGGGCAATGTCTGAGGTCCGACCTCTGCCTGTTTGTCCCAGGTACAACGAATCCAGGCCAATTGGGCCATGCTGTCATCCCCACCCTGTTGCCAAACTCCCTCAGTCTCAGGCCCTTGAAGATCTCCTGTCCCATGCTGTGGTCTGCCTGTCCCGTCCCATGATCCTCATCTCTGTCTTGGATCATCCCATCTACCCCATTCCATCCCAAACTTCTATTCCTTGATCCCATCCTACAATCCCATCTCATGATGCACCATTGTCCAAATCTCATTATCTTATTCCAAGTCCTCACTTTCCTTCCCTGTGATTTACCTTCCTTCTGCTACCGCAGGGATGCCCAAAGCTGAGGATCTTCTCAGGATGGCTTCTTGTCTTTCCCTTGTGCTCCCATGGGACGCAACTGCCCAGGGAAGCACTGGTGAGGGTGTCTTGGGGTGGGCAGGCATCACCCCATCTCTTCTCTTCCCCCAGGAACATGACATTGAGACCCCCTATGGGCTGCTGCACGTGGTCATCCGGGGCTCTCCCAAGGGGAATCGCCCAGCCATCCTGACATACCATGACGTGGGCCTCAACCGTGAGTGCAGATCCCTGGGCCATGGGGTGCAGGGGCAGTGGTGAGCAAGCCTGGGGCTGCACTGGGTGCAGGACGTCAGCCAAAGCCCCAGCTCAGCTCCTTTGCCTCCTCCCATGGAGGGTCCCCAGGCTGCATTGTGTCTCCTCAGGTATCTGAAAGCACCAGAAGGGTCTGGATGCTCAGCACAATCCAAAGCCCAGGCCAGGAGTGTTTGGCTGCCGTACTGCACCCCGCCACACCAGGAGGGGTGGGACACAGGGGGTGCTGGATGGGTCCGCATGCCTGTAGGAATCCAGAGCATGGACTAGGGGGGATGTTGTGAGGGCTGAAGGAGACGGGAATAGTAGGAAAGCAGGGACCTGAGCTGGGGCTCTGGATGTGGGGATTCTGTGCTGTTTTAGACTGGACGTTAGGAACAGTTCCTCCCCAAAAGGGTGATCAGGCACTGTAACAGGCTGCCCCGGGTAGTGGTGGAGTCACTGTCCCTGGAATTGTTCCCAAACCATGTGGACGAGGGCCTTAGTGACGTGGTTTAGAGGTGGCCTTGGCAATGCTGGGGAATGGTTGGGCTTGATGATCTTAAAGGTCTTTTCCAACCTGGTTGGTTCTGTGATTGTGATTGGACCTGCAGCCCAGACCATGGGCTGTGTCCCTGAGATGAGCCAGGATGCCCAGTGCCCTGTGTGGGGAGGAGCATCTTCCGCTCCATGTAGCTGAGGCTGAGTCACCATGGGTGGAAATGAGCACTCCCAGGGATGCGTCATGTTGGCTGCAATGGCACTTACAACCTGCCTCTCCGTCACCTTTTAGGAGTGGTGTCCTGGCACCGGTGCCATGGGGCAGAACCTCTCCAAGCCCTGGCAATGGCTGTATCCCACTGCAGCAGTGGTGGCCTGTCCACAGCAGCACCAGGGCTGTTTCTTTGACTGTTTCCAAGCAGGGAGATTTGCATCCATTTCTTAAACCCCATGTTTGCTTGAGCACCTGCTGGGTATTTTGGATAGGGCTGATAATGCCCCAGGCTGCTGATCCTGCTGCCCAGGGTTTTTTGCAGCCCCCAGTCACATCCCTCCAAGCTGACAAGGCTCATCCCTAACTCCTCATTCTCTGGCTCTGTCCATCCATCACCATGCCTCCCAACACCAGCAGGGATACAGGCCTGGCCAGCAGTGGCTGTGCGGATGAGGAACCTGGCAGGAAAGGATGGGAGGGCTTTGGTGACATGACACCTCCTGGTTGAAGGACAGTGCGGGAGGGTAGGTTACGTCTCTCCATGCTCTCCGGCTCCTGTGCCAGGGCGTTTAATGTCTGATCCCTGCCTGCCCTTTGACAGACAAGCTTTGCTTCAACACCTTCTTCAACTATGAGGACATGCAGGAGATTACAAAGCACTTTGTGGTGTGCCATGTGGATGCACCGGGCCAGCAGACAGGAGCGTCGCAGTTCCCTCAGGGGTAGGTGCCAGCTTCAGGGGCTTGCTATGCCCACAGGATGTCACCTCCCTGCACCAGGATGTCACCCTCCCTTGCCCACTGGGATGTCACCCTCCTGCCCACAGGCTGCTGCTGCCTGAGCAGTCGTGCTCTGCCTGCAGGTGTCTGAACTGTGTCAAAGTCCGGGGCAGCCATGTGGGGTGGTTTGTGGATGGGTGACAGTTCCTTGCCTACTCCAGCTACCCCTGTCCCAGCCTTCCCACTCTGCATCCCATAACATCATCCTGTGCCCCCTGTGCTGCAGGTACCAGTACCCATCCATGGACCAGCTGGCTGCCATGATCCCCAGTGTGGTGCAGCACTTCGGGTAAGTCACCTCCCCTCCACGCTGCCAGCTGGGGGTGATGGGCAGGGAGATGGGCAAAGGCCAGTGGTTTGGGGCTGGGGAGGTGTCCCAGTAAGCTGGCATCCTGCATGTGTCCTTACGCTGCAGGTGGAGGGGTGCCCCAGGGAACCTGTGCTGGAGTCCACTGGCCCCCATATGCACCTCTCTGCTTTCCAGGTTCAAGTACGTGATCGGGATTGGTGTTGGGGCAGGAGCCTACGTGCTGGCCAAGTTTGCGGTGAGCTGGGGCTGCGCTGGGCTGGCCCTGAGTTGCCCGTGGCTGGTGTCAGCCCAGGGCAATGGGGAAGAGCAGAAGCTAACACCCCTGGGCAAGCTGTTCCTGGAGGAATGGGGGGCTGGGATGGCAGTGCCATGGCCACTGTGTCCAGCACTTGCCACAGGTCTCCCATTGCCCCCAGTGCAGTGGGCAGTGGTGCTGGTAGGGGCTCCCTTGGGCACATCTCCCTGCCGTGCTGAGTGCTGCCCATCTTCCTTGCTGCAGCTCATCTTCCCTGACCTGGTCGAAGGACTGGTCCTCATGAACATCGACCCCAACGGCAAAGGCTGGATTGACTGGGCAGCTGCCAAGGTGGGCAGAGCCCTGACCCCGCTCCCTGGGGCAGGAGCCAGCCAAGCAGTGCCATAACTCCCTCTGCTCCCTCCACAGCTCTCTGGTCTCACCAGCACACTGCCAGACACTGTCCTGTCACACCTCTTCAGCCAGGTAAAGGGATTCTGACGCATCCTGATGGTCCCCCACCACCAGCCCCTCACCCTGTATCCCTGTGGGCTGTGCCCTGCCACGTGCCACTGGACCTGCCTCATATCCACAGGGATGGGGTTAGTCAAGCCCTGCCTGTATCCCTCCTGCCTGATCTGAGGCTTAGCCTTGACAAGTGTGTGACTCATGCCCACATCCTGCCTGCAGCTCCACCGAGCCCCGCTGCATGGCCCAGCATCCTCCCTCTCTGCCCTACTGTCCAGCACGGCATGGGCAGGCCGGGGGCAGCGAGGTGTGTTTATGGCACCAGGAAGTCCCTGCCCCAGTCCCCAACCCTGCCCCCATCTCTATCCCTGCCCCGATCCCCATCCTTGGCCCGATCTCTGTTCCTGCCCCGATCCCCATCCCTGCCCTGATCTCCATCCCTGCCCCGATCTCTATCCCTGCCCTGATCTCTATCCCTGTCTCCATCTCCATCCCCTGCCCTGATCCTCATCCCTGCCCTGATGCCTATCCCTGATGGCACAGGAAGAGCTGATGAACAACACGGAGCTGGTGCAGAGCTACCGGCAGCAGATCAGCAGCGTGGTGAACCAGTTCAACCTCCAGCTCTTCCTCAACATGTACAACAGGTGAGTGCCCTGCGCTGCCCCACATCTGCATCAGGGTGAGAGGCTGCAGTGATGGTGGGAGCCCTGGCCCTGTTGGGTGCTTAGCTGGCTGCTGGTACTGGCCAGGGATGCGGGAATGATGGTACCCGTGCCAGAGCTTTGCCATGTCCTAGAGCCTGCAGCCATGGATGCATGTCCTCTGGCCTCCTGCTGCATTAGGTGCAGAAGGGGAAGGGGGCAGAGATGCTGTCCCATCGTGCAGGGGTTGGGAGCCGCGTTACTGCACTGGGTGATGCATCCTGCTCAGGTCATTGCAGAGATGGATGTGAGGTTCTCCATCCATAGCGTGCTGGGGCAGTGGGGCTGGGTACTGCCTTCCAGAGCTAGCAGTGCCGCAGCTTTTGTGCTATGGCATCAGTGGCAGCACCAGCCCATGGGCTCACACTTGCCATCTTTCTCTTCCATCAGCCGCAGGGATCTGGATATCAACCGGCCTGGGACTGTGCCCAACGCCAAGACACTGCGGTAGGAGTTGCACCAGCATGGCATGGGGAGGTCCCAGGGCAGTGGAGTCCTCCCAGGCTAAGTTCTGACTGTGCTTTTTCCTCCTCTCACTTCAGCTGCCCTGTGATGCTGGTGGTCGGAGACAATGCACCTGCTGAAGAAGGGGTGGTGAGTAATGGGGTAGTGCCTGCGGGGTGGTAGTACCCATCACTACATGAGCACACACGTGTGCTGCCTGCTCGGACACACATGAGCTCCCGTGTGCAGGACCATGCTCATGTGCAAACCTACCTGCTCATGTATGCATGTACATGGTGACACACCTGGAAACCTTCCCTTCCTCAGATGCCCAGATGCACTCACAGTGTTCACACTCAGGTGTGTTGGCACACAGGCACCCTCCCCGCTTGGCCACAGGCACCCAAAGAGCTGCTGGCACGCACATGTGCTTGTGCACACCCATGTAGTGGTCTGCACTTGTACAACCAGCCTCAGGTTCTGTGCAGGTGACCACATTTTTATGTAATGTGTAACTGTATGCACAACACCCTCCAGCATGTGTACCTCTGTGCTTGTACACACATGTGACACTCAGGATGCCTGGCCGGAGGAAGGTCCCCTCTGTCCATCTCTGTGGGCTCAGGGCTTGTCTCCCTGTCTCCACCTGGCTGAGGTGGGATGTGCCACTAGAGTGCCATGGGCCAGTGGCACTACCGATGGGCAACTTCTGCCCGGCTCAGGGCACCCCACGCTGCTGATATCACCCCTCTTGCTCACAGGTGGAGTGTAACTCCAAGCTGGATCCCACCAACACCACCTTCCTGAAGGTAGGCTGGTGGCAGGGGCAGCCAAGAGGTCCCTGCTGCCCATCAGGTACCCATTCCCCAGGGTGGCAGGGTGTCCCCATCTTCCTATTTCCAGGTCCATCCTGGCCTTGGGGCTAGAGGGTGTAGGGAGAGCAGGGTGGCCCCAGCAGTGCCATCCTGGGCACCAGGGGACAGGGTGGGTGGCAAAGCTCCTTCCTAAACTAACCAGGACCTTCTCTCTGCAGATGGCTGACTCTGGTGGGCTGCCCCAGGTCACACAGGTGAGCCCCCCCAGTGTCCCCAAACTGAGTATACTGGGCCTGAGACAGGCCCTCGTGCTGTCCCTCACCTCTGCTCTCTCCTGCAGCCTGGCAAGCTGACCGAGGCCTTCAAGTACTTCCTCCAGGGCATGGGCTACAGTGAGTGCCGGGCTGGGCATGGGGCTGGAGTGTGCCCATGTGTGTGTGCCCGTGTGTGCGTGTGTGTGCTGACCTGGCTGTAGGAGAGAAGCCTGGTACCCTGGTGTTCCCATCCTGAGGGAGAGCTGCATGTGTGTCCGTGGTGTATTTATCCATGTGTTTATAGGGGAGTGTGATGTACAGGCTCTGCATGCACATAGACGTGTGTACAAGGGCTCTGTGTGTACCCATGTGTGTGGACAGCACCTCTCTGTAAGCGTGCACACATACGTGTCTGTGAGCGTGCTCAAGCAGGGGCTGTGTGTGCATACACAGACAGAGTCCATGTGTACAAGTCTGTGTGCACATAGGTGTGTGTAGGTCCATGAAGATGTGTGTATGTATGTATGTGTGCAGGTCTGTGTGCACACTTGTGCATGCGTACGCACATGCATGTGTGTTTGCAAGTCTGTGTGCACACACGTGTCTGTGTGTGCAGGTCTCTGTGCACATGCCGGGGGGGGTGTGTGTGTGCAGGTCTGCGTGCATACTTGTGTGTGTGTACACTGAAGGCCCATGTACACACGTGTGTGCAGGTCTTTGTGCAGATGTGCAGGTCCGTGTGCATGCACACGTGGGGCTGGGGGGCTCCTGGCCCCACAGAGCAGCCAGCCTTGCTGATGGTGTTTCTCTGCCCTCCCCGCCCGTCTCACACCCCACCGCTGTCAGTTGCCCACCTGAAGGATCGGCGACTGAGTGGAGGCTCAGGTACTGCTCAGTGCCTGCTGCTGCATGGTGCCGCCTGGCCTGTGCCCTCAAGCTGCCTGGGCACCTTTGGGAGCAGCCTGGGTGCTGGAATGGCCCTTCCCAGGCAGATGCCCTCTGGCTTGCTCCACTTTGCCTGAGTTGAGCCCCCTGACCCATGGCTGGGGGCTGAGAAATGAGATTCAGAGACATCCCTCACCAAGTGGGCAAGTCTTGGCAGTGCCCACTGTGCCCTCCTCCAGCTGGGCAGGTGCTAAGCCCACTGGGCATCCTGGCTGCAGGAGGGTTGGCACTGTCCCCACGCACTCTGGTGGGCCTGGAGATCTCCCATCCGGCTCACTCCTTGCCCGGAGCATGGCGACCAGGGTCCCCACTGCCTCATGCCCAGTGGTTGCATTCCCAGGAGACATTCCCAGTGTGCAGCCTGACCACAGGCCCCTGTCCCTGCCCTGCTGTCCTTTGCCAGCCTGGAGCTTGCTTGTGTTGCCACAACACCGCATGCTGCAAGCTTGTGCCTTGTGTTGTCATTCACCTTGGGGAGTGGGACCTGTCGCTTTGCTTGTGTGAATCGCTGTCGGCTCAGATCCTGCTAGAATTTGGAGGGAATTGAGCAGCCCGTTCATGTCTGTGTGCCCGTGCAGTGCCATCTGCCAGCATGACCCGTCTGGCACGCTCCCGCACGGCCTCCCTCACCAGCGCCAGCTCAGTGGACGGCACCCGTCCGCGTGCCTGCACCCACTCGGAGAGCACCGAGGCTGTGGGGCAGATCAACCACACCATGGAGGTATCGTGCTGAGGTCCACACCTGCCACCAGCGTCTTCTCCAGAGCCATCTCCTGTCCATCAGCATACCACCAGCACCCGCCTGCCCTGTCAACATACTCCACCAGGGCCTTTACTTCTTCGGGGTCAATTTGTCTTCTTGGCCATTGGCCTCATCCCCTTGTCTGGTACCAGAGAAGGAGAGAGGCTTTGCATCCTGGCCTCCAGCTCCTGGGTCCATCCAGCGGTCACCGTGGTTCTGCATCAGTCCTCACCCTCCCCAGCATCGGCCTGGCTCTGGCTTGGGAGGGTGGGTGGCAGCGGGGACAGATTGGGGGAGTAGGGGCAAGGTTGTGAGGCTTGGATAGGATGGTGGGATGGGATGGGACAGCAGGACATTGAGAGGACACAGGAGGTAGGTTGTTGCCCCAATATCAATTGATACCTGGTCAAGCCAGAAGGAAGACAGGGACAGGGAGTGGTGCTCACTGGGGGAGGTCACTGGGCCCTTCCCAGGGATGCAGCTCCCATTCTCCCCACGCATCCTCCCTGAGGAGCGCTAGCACATGATCCCCAGCACACCCAGGACCTGCTGCCCTGCAGCTGGCCTAGCATTATGAGAAATCACATCTCAAAGTATCCCCGTGCTCTGATCATGCACCCTGAGGGCTGCCCTGAAGCAGTGGGCTCAGCCCTGCTCCAGAAGCCATCAGGGCAGGAGGTTGGCATGGAGCCTCTCCATATGCTCTTGCCCATGGTGGCACTTCCTTGGTCCCTTTTTGCAAGAAGGACAATCACCACCTGCCACCACCACCACCACCCTGGGGTTGGGGATAAAGGGGAGCTCTGTGCCCAGACTCACTCAGTCCCTGCCACACTAGCACTTCCACCTCCAGCTCTTGGAGGCCACCGGGTTTGGGATGCGACATGGCAAATCCCCCTCCAGTTTCACCACAGACTGTGGATGTAACCACAGTGCAGCCATGAGCAGTAAGATGAGATGCTCCCACCCCCCTCTGCAATGCTGGGAACCGTCAGCACTCTCTGCCCCACAGGGTGCATCACTGCAGGATGCTGGCAGTGTGGGATGACCATGGATGTGGGGAGCTCACCAGTGGCTGGCTTTGCCCACAGAACTGGCCAGACCTGTACTGGCCACCCTGACCCCCACACCTCTCCAGTATCTTGCCTGTGCACTGAGTGGGGCGTCTCTCAAGGGCTTGGCTCTCCCGAGCCATGGGGCCCATCTCATCTGTGCTGGGCATGGAGAGCTGTGTCAGTGCACAACCCACCCAGTATCTGCTGCTATCCGTGCCCTGCCCTCTGCAGAGCCCGAGTCCTCCCGCACCAGAGGCAGTGGAAAATAGCTGTTCAGATCTTCATGATGATTCATGGGGGAGCTGAGCAGGGACATGGAGGGGACTCATGGGGTGCCACCTTCAGGGTAAGCAGAAGCAGCTCCCAAAGTACCTGCCCCCAGGCCCCATCCCCACTCTGCAGTGAAGGGCGTGGGGCTCCCAGCCCATGTACAAGGGCTTTTGGCCATAAGACCCGTGCCCTGACCCTCCCCTATCAAATGGCAACCCCGAAACATCAGTGTTCCCATCAGTCCCCCACTTGGTTCTGCCATGTGCTTCCTTCTCAGTGTGACTCAGAAAGCTGCGTAGCTCCTTTTTACTGTAGATACTGCTGTGATCTCTTGTCTTCTGAGTGTGTCCTTCCAGATGATATATATAAAGATACCTATATACATGATACAAAAGGGTTGGTGCAGTCCCTGACCTTCCTGGGTTCATCCACCCTTGTGTTCTTGTCCCAGCAGTGCTGTGTGGTTCCCCTGGAGGTGGTCTGGCTGTGCTCACCTTTGGTTCCTCACCCTCGTTTTGTTGGTCAGTTTGGTTTTCCCTGGTGGTTTGTTCTTTTGCTTTTTGTTGGTTTTCCCTATTTTCCCCAGTCACAGCAGAATTTAATGTGTTTTCCTGTCTGAGTGCAACCTGGGCTTGTCACAGTGACATCAACGCCACAGCACTCACGAGACGGCAGTATGTAAACCAGATTAACTAACATGTTGCTGTAGAGAGGATTTACTGTGTTGGAAAAAAACAACCAAGCAGCTAATAAAGATGTTAAGAACCTGCTGTGCTCTTTCCAACAGGCTGCAGGGAAACAGTTCTGAGCTCATCCTGGGCCTGTCTGCAGAGATCTGGTGGGCAGGGAGGACAAGGGGGACACCTTGGCCACAAACCCCATCAGGGGCTGCACTGGTGGGGGAGAGGGACCAAGGTGCTCATGGCAGGGACCCCCGGACCCCAGGGTGTCCATGGAGGGGAGCCATGGGGTGCTTTGGCTTCAGGGCAGCCACAGGCAAAGTGCCCCATATGTTCGGACTGGATGGAGACTGGAAAGCTGCCACTTGTGGCCCATGGAGATTAGATTCCGGGGGTGCCCACTGTGGAAGGTAAGACCTTCGGCTGCACAACTCTGGCAGGGGGTGAGCAGTGTCCTTGAGAGATCCAGCCTCCCTCTCCTCTTCCAGTACTGCAGGCTTCTGTTTGTGCCCCCATCAAGGTTTGAATGTCACAGGCCAAAACCCTTTCCAAGTGCAGGAACATCTCCTTGGGAAAGATCCCTTTCTGTCACGGTTTAACCCCAGCTGGCAGCTAAGCACCACACTCACTGCCACCCCTTCCCCACCCTGAACAGGATGGGGACAAGAACCGGAAGAATGTAGAACCCATGGGTTGAGATAAGAACAGTTTAATAATGGAAATTAAAGTAAAATGTAATTATAACAAAAATAAGATCAACAATAACAATGTTGATGATAGTAACTGGTGACAACAACAACAAACAAACAAACAAAAAAACCAGATGAAAACTCAGAAAACCCAAGTTGCTCACCACCTGCTGACTGACCCCCAGCAGCAATCAGTGCCTCCTGGGCAACTCCTCCCAGTTTGTATCCCGAGCATGATGCTCTGTGGTATGGAATACCCCTTTGGGTAGTTTGGGTCAGGTGTCCCTCCTGGTTTCCTGTGCCCTCCTTGACTGGGGCAAGTGCTACTGAGCAACAACTAAACCCTCAGTGCATTACCAGCATTATTCTGAGGCTAAAGGTAATGAGTGCTGCCTCCCTGGGAGCTCTCTCAGATCTCAAGTCCCTAAGTGCAAACGTCCACCTCCTGCTCCCACACCTGAGGTGCCAGGACAGAAAGCTGGTGCTGGGCATCACCTACACAGGGTGAGCTCTGGAACACCCAACACCGAGATCTGCACTTCCTTAGCCACCTGCATTCTGCCTCTGTGAGAGCTCTTCAGGCCACTCAGAGATGGAGCTGAGGACCAGCCTCCCCAGTGTTCCCACAGAATACTGTGCTCCCTGGGGGCATCACACAGCCCCTCCTTGCTCTCCCTACTCCAAAGCCGAGGTCTCCAACAGTTCCAGCCCAACCCACTCCCACAAACTGCTGCTTTAGGGCAAACGACTCCATCTCCAGTCCTGCTCCAGCAGCAAAGACCATCAGGGTGATCCTTTTGCTGCCTGTATTTAACTGATGGAGCTTTGTTTGAACGGGAATAACTTCACTGGCTTCCTTCAAGAGCTTAAAGGGCTCAGGATTTAACCAACAAGGTAAAAGGCAGTGAAAAACAATGTGCAGCATCAGAGTCTTCAAGCAGCAGGAGCTGCTTGATAGGAGATATCTGAACTGACAAGCAGCGAGTCCCTCCACACTCAGTGCCAGAGACAAGGGAGAGATGCTGCTAGTGCTGTCCTGGGATGGGTTCTAGCTCATCTAAACCTATGTATCTGCAGAAAAAGTTAGCCCTTGCCTTCCTCCTCCTCACACCCTTTCCAAATTGGGTTTCCAGTTCAACCAGCTGAACCATCTGACCCCAAATCAAACTGCAGTTGGTACAAGCTAACCACAAAACCCTAATCCTGGGGCACAGTAAGCCAGAGAAGAGCTGCTGGATAAGACGAGTATCACCCCTCACACTGGCAGCTGCTGAAGTATCCCTGGAGTTATGAGGACGGTGCAGTACATTAGCCACAAGCCACCTTTAAGAAACTATCCTTATAACACAGAGAGAAGATGAGAGAAAGGTAAACACACAAGACACAAGAAGGGGCTGGCTGGGTTGAGTTTGTATCTGAGAAAACACACACTCTGTCCCAAGAGCCATTTCCTCTGCAGCCCATGCACAGCCATCCCCACAGATCCCTCTGCATTTGAGGTATGTGGTTCCCACCCCACATCCCTCCCATGTCTCCCACTAACCCCTCAGTAGAGCAGCTCCATCCCCATGGCACCAGCTGTTCCTCCCTCCAGGCTTACCATGGCCACAGCTCCCACCTGAAACTCACCCTCCATTTTGGATCAGCCTTGTGCTGGGCTGTCCTGAGGAGATGCTTTGGCTCTGCTCCGTGAGCTGAGCTCTCACGCAGTGCCCAGGGAGGACACAGTCCTTCCCAGGCAAAGCTGTAGACAGGAGGAACACAAAGCACCCAGCACAGTGAGAGCAAGACACAGCCCAGGGAACACCTATGGGCAACGCTAGAGAGGACACGGCTGCGCCAGCAGACGCCTGCAGACCTTTGCCTGGAAGCCCCAGCTCTGCCCATGCAACAGCGATGCAGGAAGAGCTCCAGGAACACCCAATGCCTGGGGGTGAAGCAGC